TATATATATATATATATATATATATATATATTATACACACGTCGTAAGTGTGTGTGTGTAAATAATTTTTTTTTTTGTTTATCCTATAATTATTTCAATGCTATGTTGTTGTTTCAGTCCCTTAAATTGTGAAATTACCTTGTAGATATTACATTTATTAAACATTTAAAACCTTTACAATGAATAATACATTTAAATTTTTTATTTTTTTAGGGAAAACCCATCTTTGCCGTGAACTCATGGTTTAAGTGGGTATAAAGATGAGTATAAGCAGTGATGAGGTTAATTTCCTGGTGTACAGATATTTACAAGAATCGGGTGAGTAGATTATGAATTCCGTGTGAATTGATTAGTTGACTGTTGTGTTGGGCAAAAAAAACAGACCAGAGCTATGTATCAGAAGTTATGTTGCAGCAGCTAATACATTTCATGTTAGAAAGGACTCTCCCAGCACAAGAACTGCTACAATTCATTGTAGTTGGAACTTGTGGCTGCAAACTTTGAAATCCCTTGCCCTTTGTGGAATTTATTTGAATGTATGGCAAATAGACTCCACCCCTCCCTACAGGTGTGATTTATGGAAGCATTATTTCCACATTAATCGGACCAAGTACACTTATAACTTGAATGTACTACATACCGTCATTGTGCTATTCAGTCTTTATTACTTGTAGGAGCCATATTGTGAACAGGCATGCCCACACACAACACTAATTCCTGTACAGCTCAAACCACTGTATTACATGTTCAGTAGTCTGACCTAATCTCATCTGCTCACTAATGCTTGAACTAGGGCCTCAAAATGTCCAATCGCCCCTAGTAATTAGTGAGTGAAACTGTAATCCTGGCGAGTAGAAATTCAGTAGTGTCACCATTTTTTATTTATTGATTTTTTTTTTATTTTTTATTTTTTTTAAATGGGGCAATCACACGATCGTATAAATGCCAGCTTTAAGGGGGCAGATCTTAACCACAAAGCCGAGGGAATGCCATACTGCACAGCCCCCGCAATCTGACATTTGTAGAACCAAATAATTAATTACTCTAGCCAGTTTTTGCAGAAACTCAGCCAGCACTTAGCTGAGGGGATCCTACCAATCTTTGAAAAATGTTTTTTCCTATGCGACATTGGCAGGACTGAGGCATACTCTTCTTCACACTTTGCCAGTTCTATAGGTCTTGAACGTGACCACCTATGCAGAGGAGATCCTGCACACGTGGCAACTGACAGTTACACAGATGGGGCAAAGATCTCAAAAACTCCAGGTTGGTGCACAGAGACCAGAGACATAGGCACTCTTTTTCAGCACTGTGTAAAAAAACAAGATAGCCAACACCTCATACCTCACACCTATGCAAATCGGCTTAATTGCCCACTCTCTTCACAAACAACCCTCTCCGCTCACTATGGGGCCTTTGAAGATACAGCTCTTGCTAATCTGTAAATAAAAAATCTCCTGCAGGATATTCAAAAGTTATTGCCAGCAGATATCGCTGTGGTGAAAGTTGACTTTCAACCACTGTTACTGCCAGCGTTAGTCACTGAGGAAGACTTCTTGGATCTTCAGCAAAATTATAACCTCACTAACTGAAAATATGCAACATTTACAATCCATCCAGCATACCCTTTCAATTGCTAAATGACTGTAGTAGGCACAACAATCTTGAAATTAGAGTAATACCTGATTCCATTGCTATGGAAGAACTGCTTCATTACCTACGTCACCTAATGACCTCTATCTTCTCTCCGAGACTTTTTTTTTTTTTTTGGGTTTTGATGGGGCCTATCGCATAAATCTTCACTGGCACCATAATCCGCCACATGTGACTTATTTGCAAGATGTCCCTTATTCTTGGAGAAACTTCAAATTACCACAGCATTCAAGGCAAAACCCCCAATTGATTTGAATCATCTAATTTCTCTTAATTCAACGATTTTACCAGATCCACACTTCAATGGAGAAGATCATTACACCCAGAGGCTACAAGAAGCTAGCATTAAATATATATGGATAGCATCATGCTTCCTGTCCGTCCCCTATAACAGAAATGTCTTCAAGATTGCATTGATAAAAGAAGCTCCTGCTTTACGTCATTGGGACTCTCAGTGCCAGCACTGGCTGCTTATAGCCCCACATCTAAACACACCTGATACTCAGCCAGGATTAGTCGCCTTCGTACCCAGAGGTGGAGATGATTCCTACCCAGGGATTTGAGTTTGAGTAGAGACTGAGCAAGAGAACTTAGACTTCCAAGAAGAGCACAGTTGTATTATTATTTACTGTTTTCCTTATGATCTTTAATTTTATTCCTTGTTATATGAAACAGGTTTTCCATTCAGCCTTGTGGCTGTAATTATTGTTAAGCCTTGGCTGCCACATATGGCAGTAAAACCTCATCCCACCCCCCTGGGTAAGAACTCCCTGTTGAGCTTAAACCACATTAAGTGGAGGCAGTTTAGTTTGTGACCTTAATATGATCCAAATATATCCAATGTTCCATATATTCTCCCGGGTTTATCTAAACTCCAGGTTACGTTAGATTGTTGACATCCGCACCAAGATATATATAGTGTGTGTGTGTTTTTAAATAATCTGTCAAACAAGTGCCAAATTTCTCAAGGTATTTTTCCATTGTTTATTTGCAGCTATAGCATGACTGATTCTATAGCCAAATATGCTTACAAGGTTAACTTGAAATGTTATGAGGAGTGTTGCGTAATGTGTTTTTGTTTGTTTTGACAAAATTCCCCTTTCTGCAGGATTTTCCCATTCAGCATTTACGTTTGGTATAGAAAGCCATATCAGCCAATCTAATATCAATGGTGCCCTAGTGCCACCAGCTGCTTTAATCTCCATCATTCAGAAAGGATTGCAGTACGTGGAGGCAGAAGTTAGCATTAATGAGGTAAGGGATTTAAAATAAATAAATACATTTGTGGCTGGGTATCTGCTTCTATTGAATTGCCACAATTCCAGCAGCTTTATTGAGAATTTCAAATGTTAATAATATTTTAATAATAAGTGATCTTAGCAGGTGTGATATGTTCTTAAGTGCACATTCAAATGAGGGTTCACACACATTCTTACGATGCTACTGAAATAAGTAATACAATTAAAGGGACTTTATAGGCACACAGATCACTTCATCTCAATAAAGACCACCTGGGTGCCAGGAAATGGTTATAGATCAAATGTCCCCCCTAGAGAGTGTTTGTTTGGCACAGTATTAAGAATGCTTTCCTATGGGAGAGCATTTGATTGGCTGAGATTGAAACTGATGTTAATCGCCAGGAAGAGCACAAGACTGGTGCACCATGGGATGTAAGGCAAGTAAATCTTACACGTGCGGCGGGGTGTATTTTTAATGTTGCAATATTGGTATTCCTGTGTTCTTTTAAGGCAGCTAAGGAAGGCGTTGAGAAATGTTGCCACCCCAAAAAAAAATTTCCAATCCATTTGAAAAATAGTTGCACCATAGAATATTAGTATCTGTTTGTATGGGTATGTTGATTAGGAGCATAAAATCCATGTCTAGACCTTTTTTATGAGATAGTCATATGGTCGATGCTACAGGAGTTGGTGATGCCATCTTCATTGGCTTCTGCCCCTACCAGTTTGCTAAATTTGGTATGTGGGGTAGACTTTATTATGTCAATAAACTAAAGAAAGACCAGGCATAAATTTGCCTCTGCTAAAAGTAATAAATGGGCAAAACAAGAGGCTCACAAATGTTACAAATGCCAGGTGTAGGAATTAAAGTCCCCTGTACAATTTTAAATGATGAGTTTGGATCCTCAGAGTACACTAAGCATGTAGAGCTTAATTCCTGGCATGCCTTCGGAGCATGTCTTTCATCATAACAGTGTGCATATCAATACGGGGTGGATTCTCGTTTTTCGTTCTCTCTCGCTCTCATTTTTTTTCTTCTTTCTTTCTCTAAATGTATTTATTTTTTATTTGGTTGTGTTTACATAGATGCTTTTAACACCTTAAATTAACACACTAGTCACCAGCCCCAGTACAGCTTTAATGTAGTGGTTCTGGTGTCTATAGCATGTCCCTGCTGTGTTAGCACGGTAAACACTTCATTTTCAGAGAAAAGATTGTTTACGTTGCTGACTGGTAGCAGCTCTAGTGGCTATCATTCAGGCGACCACTAGAGGTGCTTCCTAATCCAGTGTAGCACTGACATTCAGCGTCTCCACGCTCTGCATGTAGACACTGAATGTCCCCTATAGAGATGCATTGATCCAGTGCATCTCTACAAGGCGATACTGATTGGCGCTGCATTTTGCTGTGTATGCGCAACAGCCTCCCAATTGGCTATTGATTCCTACCCAGGGATTTGAATTTGATTAGAGATTGAGCAAGAGAACTCAAATTTGATCTTAGCCATGTAGGCAGTACTGGTCCTTGTAAGGCACCTTTTCAAAGCAGGGCAAGTGGCGACTGGAAACACATTATTTTACCACTGTAGTGTCAGGAATTTTTGTTTCCGGCAAGATAATGTTCATTTAATTTTGCAGTCTGTGACCAGACTCAGAAATACAACATGTGATCGGTTAGCTGTAGTATTACAAAGGATTTAAAGCACTGCACAAAACTTAATTATCAGTCTGGTGCCACTAAAATACCATGGCATGTTAATCAATATGATGTGAAATCGCATGTTGTTCTAAATGTTGTATTCAAATAAAAAGAAAAGAATTGAGGCCAAAAAAGCTGTCTTCCTAACACTACAGTGTCCCTCTGCGTCCGCTGAGGTCTTCCGTCACACTGACTCAGGAGCATAATGCTTATGCGCGGCAAGTGCTTCGTGCGCATTAGTCCTGCCCCATAGAAAAGCATTGGCTCAATGGTTTCCTATGGGTATTTTCAAGACCCTGGACGTCTGCAGACAATGCTTGAGTATGTCCAGCTTTGTTTCTCGCGGTTAAAGTCAGTGATAGAACAGGAAACGCCTCTAGGAGCTGTCTGGAAGACTACAGTTGGATGAAGTGGTCTGGGTGCCCATAGAATTTCCTATAATGTATTTATTTGATATTTTCCCATGGAAACAACTTGTACATAAGGGAAATTTTTTATTTTTAACAAGGTCTCTGCAAATTATTATAAATTAATTATGCTAATGTAACTTGCATAGTGGGGGGAAAAAAATAGTAGTACTGCCAACCATATCTTTACTTGCTATTGAATCTAATTACTTCTTTAAAAGGTGTTTTTTCTTTTTTCTTCTAGGAGAAATATATGAATCTATCTTAAAAGTATTGTAAGAAATAAAGTATGATTTATGTTTTTATTTCTGCTTTCATTGTTTAGGATGGCACTCTGTTTGATGGCAGGCCTATTGAGTCTCTGTCACTGATTGATGCGGTTATGCCTGATGTGGTGCAAACAAGGCAGCAGGCATACAGAGACAAACTTGCACAGCAACAAGCTGCGGCTGCTGCTGCTGCCGCCGCCGCTGCCGCAGCTGCTACAGCAAACAACCAACAGCCATCCACAAAGAATGGCGAAAATGCAGCTAACGGGGAGGAGAATGGAGGGCATGCACTAGCAAGTAGGTGTATTCCTAGATGACAATGGATAAAATGTACGGTCTTAGCCGTAACTGTTTGTTAGTTCCAAATGAGATGGGTCTAATCCTAGCTTTTATTTATGTATTTTGAAATATTGAAAGTGTTTTTTTGTTCCAACAAGTGAACTGGCTGAATTTAAAAGATTATCTAAACTCTTAATATTTAGCACGTCAAGCAGCCATAACCACTGGTAACATGGAGAAGAGTCTGTAGTGTGTGTGAATTTAAGAGCAGGCTCACTTTAAAAAACTATTTTCAGTGATTCCACATAAAATGAATTATGGAAGTCTACCAGGTTTATTTAATTTTTTTACAACATGGCCTATCTCTACCTAGACTAAAAACATTTTAAAAAATACAAGTAATAAAAAAAAATATATATATATATATATATATATATATATATTTATATATATTAGTTAATACAATGCTAAACAAAAGTCTGCACACCAGTCAAGCCATAAGACTTGCTTTTCCCACAGAAATCCCAAATCAGCAGTGATGTTACAACCGCAAAGGATTCTGGGTGGGCATATGCAAATTAGTTTAACAAAGAATCACATTTTTGCCTCATTCCATTTTAAACATGGATTCCTTTTAATTTGTGTTTGCAGTATACAACTGCTTGGAACACAATTTAGGATAAGATGCAAAACCAGTGAACCACTCATGGACAGCATATATATATATATATATATATCTCCCAAATTTAGCAAAATGTCACCAACAACATGATTACAGTATACGCCAATATGTAAACCAAACTCTGAAACTCTAGAAACGTGCTGAAGTAGATGGTGGAATGTGTGAAATATGCGCGAGCACTGCTAACTTAAATGCTTGTGCTCTCAGTGTCTTAAAGAATTTCCTTACCCAACTATTCACTCAAAATAATATTTCAGCTTTTGGTGTCTCCCAGCAAGGAATGTGTATGGGGGGGATGGGGTAGCTTGCTAAAAGTATAATCACGATAGCTATTAAAACAAAGTACTTTGTGTGTAATACGGCAGTGTCCCCTGCTGGCTGACTTGCAGTAGAGCAGTACATTCTAGAATAAAAGCTAGAAAGTGCTGTGATATAAGAACCAATGTGCCATCTATTTTGCCTATGTATTTTTTTTAGCGTTGCTTCATCCTAAGCAAAGCATTGGTAATTTAACAAAACACAAGGGAGAGTTAGAAACTCCGTGATGTATTTGAAACCCATTATAATGCATTACAAAGATAATGCATTGAAAACTTTGCAAAATTACATGTTAAACCGTAAGAAGATGATGTATACTTTTAGTTTCTAGTGCAGCATCTTAACAGAACTTTAAATCAATCTACTGTTCTAACCTGGAATACAAGCTATAACCGCTTGGGAAATGCCTTTTCTATTTTTTTATTTATTGAATTAAGACCTTTGTTTAAAATAAATATTATAATTAAACAAGAAAAAATTAATATAAGCTCATTATTCTTCTTTCCTACATAGATAATCACACTGATATGATGGAAGTTGATGGAGATGTTGAAATTCCATCAAGCAAAGCGGTGGTATTACGTGGGCATGAATCAGAAGTATTTATTTGTGCATGGAACCCAGTTAGTGATCTATTGGCCTCAGGGTACGTTCAATTATTTGTTGTTCATTTATATGTATTTATCTTTATATAACTTTTGAAACACATTGAAATTAAAGGGTCACTATAGGGTCAGGAACACAAACATGTATTCCTGACCCTATAGTGTTAAAACCACCATCTAGCCCCCCTGGCCCCCTCATGATTCCATAAATATAGTAAATATCTTACTGTATAGTAAGTAATCTTACTGTTGAAGCTGTAACTCTGCATGCTGTTAGACTCAGAAAAACAAGCAGTGTGTTGACATCATCAGAAGTGGATTGGCTGAGACTGACAAGGAGGCAGATCAGGGGCAGAGCCAGCATGATTCAAACACAGCCCTGGCCAATCAGCATCTCCTCATAGAGGTGAATTGAATCAATGAATCTCTATGAGGAAAGTTCAGTTTCTGCAGGCAGAGGGAGGAGTTACTGAATGTTTGGAGGCATTTTAGGCAGCCATGACCAAGGAAGGATCTCTAACAGCTATCTGAGGAGTGGCCAGTGAAGTTATCACTAGGCTGTAATGTAAACACTACATTTTCTCTGAAAAGACAGTGTTTACAGCAAAAAGCCCGAAGGGAATGATTCTACTCACCAGAACAAATTCAATAAGCTGTAGTTGTTCTGGTGACTATAGTGTCCCTTTAAGGCAAAGGGATTCCTGCTAACACGTGGATACTCTTTGAACAGGCTCAACAAATCCCAGGCACAAGGTCGCCATGGCGAATAGGAATTTTGTCCTGGTGCCTGGGATTTGTGAGCCTGTTGTCCTCTGGAGCTAACTGTACTGTATTGCTGTACTGCGTTCTGTAGGCAAGCAACAAGGGAACTATGATGTCCCTGTTTTGCTCCCTTGTGTGTTACTTAGCGATGATGGGGCCAGAATATGGTGTTACTCAGACCTCAGCATCACTAAGCGGAGCAAGAGCACAGAGTATGGAGATCACAGCTCCTGAGCGGCCTGCCTACAGTATGTCCAGCCAGACTTCTGCCCGCCTCCACTCGACTCCAGCCCTGCACCAACTGGACCCTGTTAAAGACGATCCATTCCAGCCCTCCCTAAGGTAGGGAGGCTGGGTGGACTTGAACTGAATTATGCCATATCATTTGTGTGTAAGATGAAGAAAGAGAGTTGCTGCGCCTTCTGAGGGTCTTGTGATCGGAAGCACTAGAAATCCCTTTTTTAGTGCAGCCATCCAAGGCTACTCGACAACCACCTTCACAAAGTAAAAAATGTAACACTAAGTTAATCAAATGAATATTTATTCCCCCATAAAGTGGACCCTGCAATGTTTTAACAACCTGAACTGACTTTGACAAAGACAGTGTATGTGGTGTAGGTGCCTATAATGTCCCTTTAAAGGGACACTATAGTCACCAGAACAACTACAGTTTAATGTAGTTGTTCTGGTGAGTATAATAGCTCCCTTCAGTCATTTTCATCTAAACACTGCCTTTTCAGAGAAAAGGCAGTGTTTACATTGCCCCTAGGGACACCTCCAAGTGGCCACCCCTCAGATGGCCACTAGCAGGGCCGGAAATTTCCCGGTGGGCCGTCGGCACCTGGGTCTGCTGGCGGCCGCTGGGGATGTCTTCTGGCGGCCGCTGGGGGACTTGTCCTGGGGGAGCTGCGTCATATTCCGGCGCTGGTCTCATTCAGCAGCGCGCGAGGGCGGGAGAGCAGAGCCAGCGCAGCTCCCCCCAGCGGCCGCCAGGACAAGTCCCCCAGCGGCCCCCAGAAGACCTCCCCCTGGCAGGTATTAGTAATCTGTATGTCTGTGTTATCATGTCTGTCTGTATGGTGTGTGTGTGTCTGTCTGTTATCATGTCTGTCTATATGGTGTGTGTCTGTCTGGTGTGTGTCTGTGTCATGGTGTCTGTCTGTATGGTGTGTGTGTGTGTGTGTCTGTTTGTGTCATGGTGTCTGTGTCATGGTGTCTGTCTGTATGGTGTGTGTGTGTGTGTGTGTGTGTCTTGGTGTCTGTGTGTCCGTCATGGGGGGGGGGTGTCTGTCTGTCCGTCATGGTCTGTCATGGTGTGTGTGTGCCTGTCATGGGGTGTGTGTCTGTCATGGTGTAAATGTGTGTTTAAAAATAGTGTTTTTGCTCACCTTTTTTTTCCCCCCACGCAGCGTGCTGGTCTCCCCTCGACTGGCCCTGCCTCTAGAGCTGAGATCATCAAGCTTGATGATCTCAGCCAATCCAATGCTTTGCCATAGGATTGGCTGCAAAATGCCACTCCAATCAGCATCTCCTCATAGAGATGCATTGAATCAATGTATCTCTATGGGGAACGTTCAGCACCTACAGAGTGTGGAGGCCCTGAATGTAGTTGCACTAACACAGGAAGCACCTCTAGTGACCGTCTGAGTGACTGTCACTAGCAGTGTCACTTTGAAGCAATGTAAACACTGCCTTTTCTCTGAAAAGTCGGTGTTTACGTTGAAAAGCCTGTAGGGACATGCTATAGACACCAGTACCACCACATTAAGCTGTGTGAGTGAGCTTGCTTGCATGCGTGTGCCTGCTAGTGAGTGAGCTTGTATTTTTATGTCAATGAGATGATGTATATCAGTAAGATTGTTTGTCTATGAGGCTGTGTATCAATGAGCTTGTGTGTGTCATTGAAATTGCCTGTGTCTGCATGTGAGTATGCTTACTGTATAATTAAACGTTTTACCCTGAAACGACCAATATTTTATATTGGAAAAAGATATATATATATATATATATATATATATAATTTACTCAATCATCTGTCCTGGCAAGACAAAGCCTTACATATTACACGCGACAATATATGGCGCAGTGACTTATGGAGCTGGCACAAATTTTTTTTCCAGGGCTGCACTAGAGGGGCTTCCTGGCTCAGGGCTGCACAGTATGCAGCCCTGCCGTTCAGTGTCCCCACGCTCTGCATGGGGATGCTGAATTTTCCTCATAGAGATGCATTGGAGGCAAGCCACCTAAATGGTGGGTTTTCACTATAGGGTCAGGAATATGTTTGTATCCTAACCCTATAGTAATCCTTTAATATTGGATCTTGCTACCCCTATATAGCAAATATATTTGCCTGTCTAAGACCAAAAATTATTATTCTACTCTGTTAAACATAAAGTATATTGCTAGCTGTTCCCTCTGCTTTATACTGGATCTATTTGCTGCCGGTGCATTGACGGATTTGTACTTTTAAATCTTCATATTTGCATTTAAGCTAATTGGAATAGTAGAGGTAAATTAATGTTTTCCATATGCATTCACTGTTTGCAAGCTTGATTGAGCAGGGTCTTCTTCACCTCTAAATATTTCCTTTCTAAAATTGTAAAGCACTTCAGAATATGTTGTTGCTATATAAATGCTAATAGCGATAAAATGCACAACCCCATTCCGCCCTATTAACACTTTGATAATGTTCCCTTTTGTTTCCATGCACTTTCTTTTTGGGACTTCCAGAAATGCATGTATCAAGTTGATGGTTCCCACCCAACTAGTTCTGTTTCCTATTGGCTATAGTGCTGTTCCTTGAAAATTGGGTTGGAGGCATTTAGACAAAAGCATCTTCAAACTGTACTAGTCACATGTGCTGTGTAATGCAATCATCTTCATTACCATTTTAATTGCTGTATCATGTAGGTCAGGAGATTCTACGGCCAGAATATGGAATCTTAGTGAAAATAGCACTAGTGGTTCAACACAACTTGTTCTTCGACACTGTATACGAGAAGGGGGACAAGACGTTCCAAGCAACAAAGATGTAACCTCATTAGATTGGAATGTAAGTAGATAATTTAAAGTACTGTCTGTTGTGTACCGTTAAAACTATAGTTTTCAAAGTAAAGAGGAATGTCTAAGCAGTAAGCACTGTAACTACTGGGTGGCTTTTTACTTCTTTGAGTCAGAATTGGGAGATGGTGACAACATCAAACTATTAATAAGAAGTTTCACCCAAATTAGCAGCCCTTGAGGCTCCCATAGCCCAACCACCTGCTTCACTATTGCTGATATTTAAATTAAACTTCTAAATTGGCAATGTCCTCTTCATCCATATTCAGACTGGATTGATTGGGTGAATGGGTCACCTGAGGCGTACAGCCTAATTAATGCAGCCAAATATAAATGAAATTAATATTGCAAATTTAAATGTAAACGTATGCATTAGGAACAGGTGAGCGAGGAAGTGGGCAACTGTTACCTCTTCCAATTTTTAGCCAAACTACTCAAGCATTTTCACCCTGAGTGCAAAAAAATAAAAATCAACAAAACGAAAACTACTTCTATTCTCCCACTCCACCTTTTTTTTCAGTCAAAATCAAATATTTGTTTTATGTACCATAACCATTACAGCCACAATTGGCAAACAGTTTGACATTACCTGAGGTGCACCGGTTGCAGCCTCCTGGAGCTTCTGTTGGCTCCATTGAGCTAAACCCTGCACCACCGGAATGTGACCGGCTCTGTGTATCACAGATATGCTGTCTACTGCTTACCCTTGGAAGATGCCAATGGCACCATAAACCCTACAGCACACTGTAGTGGTCACGGTGCTTCGTGTGTTACTTTAAGCTCACTGTTTAACACATTACATTTTCTGTAACTATCAACTGACTTCTGTTAAGAATCATATTTTAAAATCATATGAAGGGACGTGAAATTATTTTAGTTAATGCTGTGCAAAAAGTTTCTGTTAAAAAAAAAAATAAAATAAAAAAATAGCCTACCTAGATTTTGCCAAATTATTTTTTATTGTGCAGCAAACAAATAACACTGCAAATTTACTTTAAGAACAATTGTGAGGCAGTCAGCAATTATATCCCATCAGTTTCCATGGTAACTGCTCCTTATTAAAAGATACTTTGGTACCATTTGTGTGCTCATAGAATATAGTGTGGTGACTGTTAATAGAGCTTAATACTTTTTTTTCCCCCCGTTGTATTTCATTTTAGGATATATAACAGGTCTGCTAAGGTAATCTGAGCATTGTTCTCAAAACCCATGTAGGCCTCGCCTTGTGTAGTGTTAAAGACATTGGGATAATGTAAAAATACACAAAAAGGGACTGTGGTTTTTAAAAAGTCTTTAGTTGAAAAATATAAAATGTTATTTTTATTAATGTGAATGTAAAAAATCTGAAGGTGCTCTGAATAATATCAATTCATTGATCTAGGCTGCTTTCATACATGTTAGATTACAAGAAACAGTTACACCGTCCATGCATGCAGATTTAGGCGCTGCTTATGAGTGCAGTGTTTTGGAGAAATTACAGCTGTGAGCCCACACCATCTCTCATGCACTTCAGAGAAGGAAGGAGTATTTTCCCTGTACACATAGTTGTATTGTTTGTGCCTGCAAGTCCCCACTTGGAGTTATGGATTTGTTATTGGATAGCTTCTTATTTGTGCCATTCATGTTTTTATTTTATTTTTATTTTTTTACATTACATGTTTGTGTATACTAGATTTGGATTTCATTTAATTTATTAAAGCATTATATTTTTATTTTACAATCAGAGTGAAGGAACACTTCTAGCAACGGGATCGTATGATGGTTTTGCCAGAATATGGACTAAAGATGGTAATTATATATTTAACAATTGCGGTGTGCTGCTCTGTTGTAATTGTTGTACTATAGGAAGGTCATTGCTATAGCAGTGCATCATTTGATGGCTACTACCTTGATTACCTGCTGTTGAGTCATTTATTGCTTTTAGGTGATTTTTCAAACCAGTTTTAGCATACTGAATATAGGCTATATTCAATTTTCATCACTTTTGAACAGCTTTATGCTTGCACTGCAGCCTGTTTCAGATTGGTTTCTGCTCACATCGCTCTACCTTAAAACACATTAATAAGTTTGTCTGTTTTAAGTTCCATTCTCTTTGTGCACAAGTGATGCTATATGTTCGAATTACTCTACTTGTCACATTCCTTTTCTTGCCAAACTTATCAACAAATCACAGTTGTAATATTGTTTTATAAAGAATGAATGTAGGAACATTTTTATAGTGGGGCTTTCTCCATTGCTGGTAGCAGTGTATTTAATAGGTACAGGTGCACAGAACTGTTCCCATATTTCTTTTCTCAAAGCACTGTTCACGTGTGTGGACTTGGCTAGTTTCTCAGAGCCTAGATTTGAGAAGTAATCTCGGCAGTGGCACATATGGCAGTGTAGAAATCTGACTTGTGAGTTCATGCAAGTTGAAAAAATGTAAGTAAACTGAGATCGGACACATTATAGTTTTCTTATGTTAGTGGTGCAAAGAAAGTATAGGCACACTAAATAATTGAAATTGAAAACCAGCTCCTTTACGGGGACACTCTAGGCATTAACCAACTTTTGTATTTATTTTTACAATTTTTTTGTATAATTTTGCAGTACTTTCTGCAGCCTAATTCCTGCCTCATCTGTACCACTTTCCCCATTTAACGTATAATTGTTCTCTTCCTGCCCCTCTCACTTACAATGCAAGGTAATGCAATATTTCTCAAATAAAAGTTGTCATTAAGAATCACAGCAAATGATTATGGTAGTTGGGAGTTCATCTAACAACTTTTAGAGTAAAAAGCTGATAAGTGAGATGCAACTCCCAAACATTTCTGCTCTGGGTTAAAACCAACTTTTTGAAAAATGTCATAAAAAGATATTGGAAATTTAAACAAATGGAGGTTATTTTGTTACTCCAATGGCCATTAGAACGATTTTTTTTTTCTTTGGTTTTACTGTGTGTATTGGGACTGATGTGTACTATGATCGTTGCTGCCGCCCTAGAGTAGTGGGAGTTTGAGCGCAGGACTTGTTTTTGTGTACTGTATTTGTATTCACTTTTTTATCACACCGCTATGTCACAATTCTGTTGCCCACCCCATGTGTTCCCTATTAAGGGTTAATAAGCATGTAGGGGTTTATAAAAAAAAAAAAAACACCCCTCTCTGTCTCATTAGAGATATCTTTGCCAGAAGCTCAAGGAAGCAAGGTGAATAGTCGGTGTAGGACCCATCTAAGAGGTTTGCCTTGATGTGACAGGTGGGCAGCCCTCTAATTGCCATTGGAGTAATTAAATAACCTCCATTTGTTTAAATGTGCCTAGGGATTTGGGAAGAGCACAGGTAAAGTTTTTACTGTATGTATTGGGGCCGATGTGTACTGTGGTCGTTGCTGCCGCCCGAGAGTAGTGGGAGTTTGAGCGCAGGACTTGTTTTTGTGTATTTATAAAAAGTTATTGGGGCATTTTGATTGGCTGATTAATTCCATATCAGGGAAGTTCTCACGGCTTGAAGTGTAAAACCTTTAAATGTATTGCAAATGCAGCAACTTCAAATCACAGCATATTTTGCCTGTTCATGGGTCCTTCCTTTGTTTGATAACAGAGCAGAGATGTACTCCTCATGTGGTTTCAAATGACCCGTACAAACACAGAATGCATAAATTAGTAATCTAGCTCAAAGCTTTCTTTTTATTCCACAAACTTTTTCCAAAGCTGCAATTATGATTTGTGGAGTAGTTGGATGACTAATAATTTTCTTGATATTTGGATATGCTATATATATTTCTTTAACATAATTATAATCACATGGTGCATATAATTTCACTTTTGTTAAGCCACTTTATTTTTAATCATTTATACTTGCTTCATTAATGTAGGGGAGTTTCTTTTTAAAAGAAACACACGTCTGACAATTTCAGTATGTACCTGTAATAGAAACACCCTCAGATGTGAGCCAATTGTCCAAACTGAAATTTTTGAGTTTAATATAATTTCCATTCTGCTACACATTTAAATAGCTTCATTATTGCATTACTTTTCAAAGCTATTAAATGGACACTATAGGCACCAGGACCACTTCATCTCAATGAAGTAGTTTGGGTGCCTTTAATCCCCCCTCAGGAATGTTTTTATTACAGGGTTAAAATGCCACTCAGCCACTAGAGGCGCTTCCACCAAAATAGCAGAGTAAAATGCAGCTTAAAACCATTTGATTAACGCAGTGCAAAGATATTTTGCCACATACATGCATTCCCAATATTGCTGGTTGGTAGTGCAGAGGCCAGTGCTGCTTGGGAGCACTCCCTACACATGGGGGATGGGAACAGCCAATAGCACACTATAGCATTAGGAATACACATTTGTATTCTTAAAGTTGTAGTGTTCCTTTAAAGTGCCTCTGTTAACTGAAAAAAAAGCACACAAAAAAAGCCATTTCTACAAAGTAAATACTTTCATGTAACCAGGTTTTTAATATACTTAGCATTTCCAAATGTTAGTTTAGACATCAATTTTGGAATTGCATCCCAAACCAGTAGAGACCAATATAGATTAAATAAGATCAAAAATAATCTGTGACCGACCAAGGACAATTGCCAGTGTTAAGTGTTATGCCATGATGCAAAACATGTCTGAAAGAAACAAATACAAAGCTGTAATACATAACTGATGTGATTAATTCTGCAGTGGAGTTTATTTAATTTTTGTAATAACGTTAATGTATATCTGTTTTACAAAACATGGCTCTCCATTTCTTTATATATAATTAAAGTTAAATGCTATCAAGTGATTAAGATGATCAGATTAAAACTAGTTCATATTTTTGTCCCATTGTTTTTTGTGTGTTTTTGACAATCTTTATTTTAGGTTTTCAGTTTAGTTGACAAGACCATTGTAGTACATATAGGATAGTGAAATAGAGGAGTTTACATACAGGTATTAAGTAAACTAGTAGCCTAACTTATCAACTACCCGTATAATATGCCTTTGCTCATGAGATAAATGGTTGTCGGGTTCAACCTTTGTGGTCCCATTGTTTTTACCCGCTACGTGATCAACATTTTAAGCCACATGTAGTTTGCATACTCTGTCTCCTCATCCCAAAGTAATGCTTTAGTATATGTTACCACGTGCTAGAAATTATGGCATACTGTTTGGAATAGTTGTATGAACAACCGTTGTCCATTTTAAGAAAACCCTGTCTTGGTAACTATTTTAATCTATAAAATGAACTATTTGGCTAGCACAGTATCTAGATTAAATCTTGTACCTACCAGATGTTTTTCAGTTGGTGTGCGGATAATTACCTTATCCTGATTGAATAGCCTATGCATTTCATGTTTGATATGTTGACATTGATATTAATGCATCATTTATAACTTTACCATATTGTCCAGGAAATCTTGCAAGCACCTTGGGGCAACACAAGGGACCCATATTTGCGTTGAAATGGAACAAGAAAGGAAATTTCATTCTAAGTGCAGGAGTAGACAAGGTAAACTCTTTTTCCACTTTTAATGTCACACAGACTGACATCATGGAAATTTGATACAAGATCTTGGAAAGTCTTTTAATATTTAATACTGTTTTTAAAAGTATTATAATGTAAACATAACCGTATTATACTACATTCTGTTATTTTTTTCTTTTTTTTTTTTTCTTCTAAGGTCTTTCCAGTGCGTCATTTGGTCCTAGAATTCTATAACACGAATTTGGACTATTTTCTCCCCTAAGGGGCTTTCAGTGACTTTCATAGACTTTGGACTTCCATTGTATATTGTTTTATATTTTATATATTTTTTTATTTTGGTTTACCCCTATACAAACTTTAAAGGGGAATATTCACTAAGCGCAGACAACTTTATTTGCATTAATACTGTTTCATGTTTACTATTTTTGTTCTATTAGTAAAGCAATTGTACTTACTAATATAGTTTTTTTTTTTTGTCCATCAAACTCTTTTTTTAAATGGCTAAAAAATATTGAAATGTGTTAAAACCTCATCTATAACAAATGTAGTTCCTTCTATTTCTGTATATCAGTCTATTGCTGTAAATCAGTCATTGGGAATAGTCTTGACATTTAGTTATGCATACTTTGCACTGACACCTTGTACATTTAAGCATAAACAAAAGCTGAATTTATAATCTAGCTCTGCGGTTTCCTACTATTTGGACAAGCTGATAACAAGAATTTGTACCCAAAGAATATCAAAGTAACTCAGACACATTTAAAATATAACTACTAATCCCAGAATATTAGCGTACCCAAATTTATTGATCACTAAAGGGTTACAATTCGGAGTGATTTAGTAAATTTTAGAGACCTTTCTGTTTTTTCAAGCTGAAATAAATTAGTATGGGCAACTTAACGTTTTCTGTGAAGCTTAGTTCATATTTCTTTTAACTTTTGGTAGCCTGTGCTAGCAAAAAAATTGAATGGCCTTCCTAAACATTTTAGTATGCAACTTTCTTGTTAATTAAGCCTCAAATTGTGTATTACTCAATTTTTTATAAGAATTCTGAGATCAAGTATGAATAGCCTTAATTAACAATGTTAGTTTTTGCAACTTGCTCATGAAACGCATAACAGTAGGGATGGAATAAAGTGACCATTAGAGAATAAATGATTTCATGTTTTGTAATGAGTGTTTGTTTTTATGTGCTTTCATTGCAGACCACAATTATCTGGGATGCACACACTGGGGAGGCAAAGCAGCAGTTTCCCTTTCATTCTGGTAAATGTTTAGATTTCATTTGAAAAAATAAATGTTTTTTGTTTCAAATGGATGTAGTTTGATGTGTCTTGGTGATTTCATGATTCGCAAAATTGCTTAGATACCAACTGCAACCCCCCCCCCCCCAAAAAAAAAAAAAAAATACAAGTGCAATGTTTTCTTCTAGAATTGTTGAGAATTGATTTAACACCTTTAAAGATTATCTGTGTTAAATACACATAGACCAAAGAAAACTTGATTTAGCATGAGTAGTAGTGCTGGTGCTATGTGAGTATGATATTTAATATGAAATATAATCCCGTTTAAGACCCAGATAATGGCAATGTTCATTATGCATAATAACATATTTCAGTGATTTATCAGCATTCATATTTTATTGTTTTGGTGATGTGTATCTTGATATTCTTGATCATTCATGCTGCAGCTGCTTGGAGTTAATTTTGGAGAACTGTTTTCGGCAAATTATTTATTCTTTCTTGAATTACGGAAATTCATCCCGGATATATTTATTTATTTGTGTTGATGTTCTCTGTCTTTGTGTCTAAAGTTATATTATTTTTTTCCCTCTAGCACCTGCATTAGATGTGGACTGGCAAAGTAACAATACATTTGCATCGTGCAGTACAGATATGTGCATCCATGTCTGTAAATTGGGGCAGGATAGGCCGATAAAGACATTCCAGGGACACACTGTAAGTACTTATGTATATGTATAATAGATAATATAGTGCAATGTGTTTTAAATTCTGTATTGTGTTTATATTTTTTTTACATATAAAACTCCTAAACTTGCCTTGTTTTTGTAAATCCAAAGATGAATGTGCTTGCTTAAACCAAGATAATCTTCCCCTCTTCAAGTGCTTTATAACAAGTATATTAAGAAATTATTTCTGTCTAAAAGCAATGTACACAATTTGACTCATTGGTGTAATTTTCTTATGCCTTTTTAGAATGAAGTGAATGCAATAAAATGGGATCCTACTGGCAACCTTCTTGCATCCTGTTCTGATGATATGACATTAAAGGTACATGTTCCAGTTCCAACCAATTTTCAAGACTTTTATTAAAACGAAAATTATCAGTACTTAATTTTTGGAGGAATGTCATTAGCTTCCCTTCAATAATGCTACTGAAATTCCCACCTATGATAAAACCAAACCACTGTTCATTTGCTGATTTAATTTATTAACTATTTAGTTTGCAAAAGAACTGAGGAATTCTTATAAATTAGTGATAGGTTGAAGAGAGAAAAGACAGATTCATTGGCGATGGTTGGTTTTAGGAAGGTGGCTGATTTCATGTGATAAGAAAGTTCATGAGTAGTAAGTTTAAGGGGAGAATATGCATTAATGGGGAAAACAAGGGAAAAGATGTGGGTTATGAGAAGGGGTCTGATAATATTGAGTAGGATTTCACAACACATTTTATAGGTCTCCTTATGTAACAAAGATTCTAAAACAAAATTTTACTATTGCATTTAGGTCCCATTGAAATTTTGTCTTTTGAATACCTTTTAAATGTAATGTAGTGTCATTGTGTTCATGGCAATGACTAAATCATTATAAAAAACATTGATTTTTTTAATACCAAGTTCCACATTGAGACTATTTGAGAACCAACTAATGTAGAAGGATAAAAGCATGGAAATTGTATTCAGATGAGTTGTCAAATTTAAATTACATTCTTCTGTTGTGCTTTAGTACAGATGTGTCCAATAACAATTTCATGTTTTGGTTATGAACTTTTTGTTATTGTAAGTTTTTAGATGATATGTATAAATTAAATATATTCCACTATAGATCTGGAGTATGAAGCAAGACAGTTGTGTTCACGATTTGCAAGCACACAACAAAGAAATTTACACCATTAAATGGAGCCCCACTGGGCCGGGAACAAATAATCCAAATGCTAATCTAATGTTAGCAAGGTAACTAGTTTCTGTTTATGTATTACCAGTGTTGATTGTTACTCAGAATTTATTTCATTATCGCTCAGTTTGCTCACAGCCTCTGAGTAGGCATCTACGTTTTGTCTTGTATTCTTGAGTGAAGATTATTGAAGCTGTCCTTTTCAGCATATTTTAAAACAGGTTTCACTGTGTGCTGTAAAAACATAGAATTAGACAGAAGTGAGATCATTTAGTCCATTTAGGCCTTCAATGCTCTTACCTCTTTCAACATCCACTTTTATTTTACACTTGGACTTAGTTTATATCCAGTTTTTTTTTTGTTTTTGTTTTTAAGCTTTAATTTGGTCCTTGTATGATGTTCTTCACTGTATTAACCTTTACTTCCTTATTATCTTCACCCTTTCAGTGAAGCATTGTATGTTTGTTTGTTTTGTAAGTACAGTTCTTTCATATTCTATTTTCTGTCACTATTTTAAATATGCTTTCCTCCTTTATATTATTTAGTCTGTTTTGTTAGGGGCGACTATATTCTAGCAGCAGTTTATATCTGGTACTACTTAACATATGTTGGCGCTTCATGCCAAAATATCTATTTATTCAGTTTAACCTGTTCCCCACTGCTGAACGTTAATGTCCCAGTAACCTTTTTTCCCCGGTAATAATCTGGGTTCTGTTTTTATATTGCAGTGCGTCATTTGATTCTACTGTTAGATTGTGGGATGTAGACAGAGGAATTTGCATTCACACACTGACTAAACATCAGGAGCCTGTGTACAGTGTAGCCTTTAGCCCTGATGGTCGATACCTCGCCAGTGGTTCATTTGACAAATGTGTACACATCTGGAATACACAGGTATGATTTAGTTAGTTTCCAATAAGGGCACAGCCTTACTAGCAGTGGTCCTCCTAGCTGTGGGCTCTGACACTTGTGTGACATTTGAACACTGGTATTCTATACCCACGTTAGGCTAATTTATTGTCATGGGCAAATATTGCTCTTTATATAGTTATACATTGGTATTATGTATAGGAGCACCATAAACTGTTGTGTTGGGCACCTATTTGTTTTGATGGTGATATATTATAACAACACCACCACACTTGCGTGATATGTGTTGGGCTTCTTCCAGTCACCTCTGATTAACTACAGTAATAAGTTTTGCCATGCCACCTGAAGTCTTAGGTGTAGGTTATGTTGCAGATGACCTAAAATCATTAACGGACCATGTGCAGTATTTTCCATAATTAATGTTCCTTAGTGGCTAGAGAGCAGGACTTTATGTTCCTCGTACTATTTTTTTTTTTTCACTAAACATTATATTTTGTGAATTACATCAGAGTGGCAAAATTCAGGCTAGAATTAGCTGATTTGGGAATAATATTCAAACTCGGTTATAGTTACTGATTGACTACTTCTAAAATTCAGATTTAATTTGATGTTAAGTGAATAACTGCAAATGTTTGAAAGGGCCTCTTGATTATCATTGTTCCCACTGAGGCACAGTAAGAAATAAGTCACACATGTTAAAGTATTCCGCGTCCCTATTGAATTCTTCCAGCTAGGGTGAAAGAGTGAACTTGGCTGAGGGAATATCTAAACATACTTGTGCACATTTTCTGTGTCCTTTTTCTGCTAGTAGTTGTGTTTAGATTAGCCTCTGCTGTGTTTAATATTAAAAAAATATCAAACGCATTAGAAAAATTGGATAATTTCAAATTGAACTTTTACTTGTGGATTTATTTTTTGTGGTTTCCTTTATTTCTCCTTTCCTAGACGGGTGCATTAGTTCACAGCTATCGAGGTACAGGTGGAATATTTGAGGTTTGTTGGAATGCAGCGGGTGACAAAGTTGGAGCTAGTGCGTCAGATGGTTCAGTAAGTAAAACCTTTAATTTTAAATAAATGTGTTTACAGCACATTTAAGTGAAAAAATGCCATTTGGATTGTGTAAACAGTGTGTGTTTCTAGTGTTTTTAACTTCTTCCCTGAGTTTTGTTCTTTTTCGTTTTAGGGTTTAGCTATCTCGTACTCTTACCCTAGTATATTTCTGTTTTATATTATGTATGGCAATCAGAGGTTGGAGTCTTTGTTTGTATAAATTCTAAAAATTCGTGGCCTGGAGACTGCTGGTGCCATATTATACATTCTGATTATTTACTTGCACGTCATATATTTAAATTCTATATTGAAAGGCTCTTACTTTATGCTATTACCAAACATAATTGTGGGAAGCCAGATTTGTTTCAATAACATAAATAATTTTTCATGCAAACTAGTGTCTAGTAAAAAATCCCAAGCACCATGTTTGACTCTCTGGCTGCTTTGCAGATTTGTATATGCATCCTAATGGGAAATTTAAATAATGCCAATGGTTGTCAAGCATGTAGTAACCTGCATTTTAAACTTAAAAATTCCTGTTTATCCTCATGAATAAAGTGTATTACCCCCCCACTCCACTCCCCCTCCCAGATTTTGAGAAATATGGCTGCGTAAGAAACCGTGACATGCAATTTTTTAATAGGGTTATTTATTAGCAAATAAAATTCTACTCATTGCACTCTCTGTAGCTCAGCACAGTTTCTCTTGTGAGATTTGCAGTTTCCAAGATCAGCACATCTTTTCATCCTTTGAATGCCGATACAATAAGTATCATTGAATTTGATATGTATTTGTTCTAGAGCACTGAATGTATTAAGATGCTACCATCTGAAGTAACTTCTTTTCAATTTTTATTTCTGTTTTATACAGGTTTGTGTATTAGACCTACGAAAATAGCGCTACTGGTTGGAAGCCATGGACCGACTATGAATGTGTACATAGCCAAAATGACTGTCCCTGACCCATGTACTGCTATAGTCCCACTTAACCATGGCCAGTCCACTACAGCCAAACCGAAATTAACCATTATACATTCATATTTAAAATTGGAAAGAAATCCCTGCAAAATGTTGCACCTCAAAGAGGACAAAGGTTTTATGTCACGACTGGTAAATATCTGTGCCCTTGGAATCCTTTCTTCTGACGGATATCTGAAAAGACAGAAATAAAGGATTGGACATGCGCAGGCAGAGAACTTAAATGTACCAAATTGGAAGATGGTGGTCAAAAACACAATCAACATTTTTATTTCCATCCTGAATTCCAGTCTTCATGGTGGTGTTTTTATAGATTTTATTTTTTTTGTCCCTTTTTATCAACCATTTCGCCTGTACAGAGAACATGGGCTATTTTACTTGAGCAATAGTATGTTCTTGGCTTTAAAACTTGTTTTGTGGGTGTGGAGAGAATTATCTGATGACTGCATAGAATTTACCCCTTTACCCTTCTCATTTGTAACTTTATTTTCTTAAGTAAACCGTAATTCAGTCTTTGAACAGAAAAAGAGAAATGGCATTGATTTGGTACACAGTGGTGTGTCGCTTAAGTTGCTTGTAGTAGTTTAAGGGCACATTGATTTCAAAAAGGAAAAAAAGCAACAGAAAAAAACAAAAAAAAACCTTCTAGATAAACTGCTGTTTTATGGCTGAATGTTTATTTGGGACATAATTCTGTCAAACCTGAAGGGCACACAAAAGGAAGATCAGACAGCAGACACTAGTGTCTTTGTTTCACTTAGACCATAAACCTATTATGGTTTACTTGTGCACTATTGTAATAGGAGCAAAATACCATTTTTAATATATTTTTTTTGCGAGGGGAGGGGCTTTTTTTGTTTGTTTTATTTTCCTCAATTCTTAGAAGAGACTTTTTAATCTTTGCCATTGGAGTGATCCTTTTAAAGGATTACTGGTCAAATACTTATTATCCATATCATTTAAATATGGAGCAAGTCCTCTTTCTCTTGGAAGTTGAGTGTAACCAAATTACAGTGTTCAAAAGTATCTTTTAACATGGTCTCCTATCGCAGAAGAACATCCCAGTATTTACCCCTATTGATTAATTACTGTAGATGATATACCATGCTGTTCACCAATCTAGATTGAACCCGTCTTTGTAGCAATTTTAAAACCTCAAACTTTCATTTTAATCAGTTCTTTTAGCCTTCTACTATGTATACTCCTGCAGGCAGCACAAATCATTTGTAAAGTTTGTTGAGTTTTCAGCAATACTTTTTCTTTTTGTCTTTGTCTTTCTTTTAAACTGTAAACGTTCTATGCTGCTATTCAGATTTGTATCAATGCCTTTTTTCCTTAAAGTTTTATAAATATTTTTGGAAATAAAAAAAAAAATCCTTCCCACCATTGTGATTCAAGCTCCATAGCGCTTACTTGTGTTGCCCTTTGTTATATTGTCTGCCGGTGGACTTGTTTTAAGGTTGGTTTTAAGAGAGGAAATCAAGCACACAGACTATTCACATTAACCCTGGTGTGAAATGATATATACACAAAAAACATTCAAACTGTTCTTGTGCTTAAAGGAACACTGTAGACACCACAACTACTTTAACCACTTATTGAAGATGTTATGGTGCACTGTGTCCCACATTGCCTCAAAACTGGTTACTCACCATTTAGTAGAAATTGTTGTTCCACTCCATCTTGAAGCCTGATCATAATATAGCCGAGGTAGTTCTCCATTTCATGCAATACCAGGGGTAATTGTTCTCTGCAACTCGATTCCTAAATCCCTGGTATGAATTGGTATGGACTGAAGTGGAAACATAGCCACAAAATGGCAACACATTGTCATTGAAAACCTACCTTCAGACTGCTTGGGACTGAGAATCTCTACTAAACTATGAACAAACTGTTGAGTAGTGAAGTGGGACCTGGAGCCTGTGGATTGCAGGCATCATAAGCACTTCAGTCTGGTGCTTACAGTGTCTCTTTAAGTTTTATTTTTGACTATGCTTGCCAGGTCCATTAATTATGCCTTAGAACAGGTGTTTAACAGTATTTGTGGTAACAAGAATTGTTTTAGAGTAAAACAAAAAGGCATAAGTAATCCCTCATACCATAATAGTGTGTTTGTTTTCTCCCTTTATTTTAAATAGTGAAACAGAAAACTGCAGATACCTCATTCAGGAAATGAGTGATGAGCTTCTAACTTGAAATAGGAGTTACTATTGGATTAGGAGTCGCTGATGTTTGACTGTGAATTAAGCCAAATGGAATTCTGCAACAATGAGTTTTAACAAAACTGAAATTTCCCCCTCGATTTTGTGAATCTTACAAATGCCACCATTGAGAGAGATGCTCTGTGAAGAAATCTAAAATAATTCTTAATTCAGTAACGTGCATATTTTTTTTTCTTTTCAGTGAATAAACATAACTTGCATTTTACAGCTGGTTGTATGTGTGAGGTTTAGTTCACCAAAAATAACATCTACCAATAACAGCATCCAAGCCTGCATGTACTATATTGATTTCTTCACATTTGTTGAAGTGAAAAGGAAATGGTGGTTCTTCTGTTCTGACATACAGGAAGCATAGGCATAGTTTCTGATCACTTCCAGAAATGTGGAAAAGCATTGACACATATTCGTTCTAATTCCCTTTTTAACAGTTAATAATTTACACTGAGAGAAATTTACATTGAGCTGCGCAAAGATTAAAAGTATAACTTGGGGTTTTATAATTGATTGAGTTCACAAGATCTGCACTTCAAACTACAATACAGGTCAGCTTTAACAAGAAGCTTTATTGTTACTTAGTTCTAGTTTCCCTACCACAAGCAAGCACCTTTATTTTATTTATTTTTATAGAAAATCTAGTTTAAGCCACAGTGCATCCATGGCTTACCATGTATATTGCAACACAGGCAATTTTTTTCTTCTTCTTTCTTTTCTCAAGCATTCTTTTGTGGCTTTGGCTATCCTCCCCTTCATGGCATTCTATTTGCCAGAACTGTCATGATATAAAGATTTTTGCCTAATTCCTGGTCACAAAGTCCATAGTTTCCAAATTGCATATGAATCTACCACCGCCCCCCTTTTGTGTACTTCATTCACTCTCCATCATGACTTTGTGACACCTTTCTAATGTTTTTATTTTAATGTTTTGTTACCAGTCAGTTCCCCCCCTCCCCCCGTATTAAAAAAAAAATAAAAAAATAAAAAAAATATTAAAGTTAATTGTTCAGAATACCTAGTATTTGACCTTGTTAACCATGTATGTGGCTGATGTAAATGGGAAATAAATCTGTGCAATAACCACCAAGAAAAATGTGCTCCCAGGAATAGACACAAATGTTTTGATTGTGTGCTGAAACTGAGAGGTTGAGTCGGTCATATTTAGTAGCCCCTTATTCTGAATAAGGAGATTTTTTTTTTTTTTTTTTAATATAATAAAAAAAGAGACTGTTTTTATATATTTAGGCACCGGATATAAAACGGTTTAATTCTATCGAATGTAAAAAAAAAATATATATATAAAAGTAAAAAATTTAAAAAAATAAAAATACACAAATCTATGAAACACAGTCTGCTAATTACTTCTGCTATACCCCAAAAATTTAGCTTTTTTTCCCCCCTTACTTTTACACTTGAGTTATTCCAGATATCACCCAAAAATTTTTTTTTTTCTTTTTCCTTTTCTTTTTTTCCTTCTTTTATTCAATGTCAGAAATACATTTTCTGAATTTCTTCATCCGGTAATGGTGCTTTTAATTTGCCAACATACAAATCAAGGCAATTAAGAATTCAGGCAATGGTGTTCTGTATTATCGGCTAATAATTACCCACACTTAACAATGTAATGTTTTCTGTACGACCGCCATTGGATCTAAAATAAGTTATACATGAGTTTCCATTGTGACACTGCAGAATATCTGTGAAATAACTTTAGTTTCACAATATATTATTGATCTTTCAATTTTTGTTTCTGAATCTACAAATCCCTTTGGGTCTAATTCTGTGAGCCCATCAACAGCACTGGATTCACTTGTCTGCATCGTTCTATTATTCAATTCTATATAACCAATGTTGTAAAGATCTGAACCAGCCCTCAGCCGTTTTTGTACATGTTAAATACTATTATTGTTTGGTTTTCATGATAACTTGTCTAACAGATTACTTTTTTGGTGTTCTGTACTGTCCTGGACAATGCTAATTACACTTTATGATGTATTTTGGTTCTACATCATAATTTACCCTGGTTTCCCTAGACCATATTTTCCAGTTTTTTAACTTTTTTTTTTGTTGCATTTACCCATTGCATTGTTATTTCTGACAACTGTAATTTGAATCAGATCTGAAAGAGGTCCAGAATAAAATATATTTTGATATTATATTGTCTGGATTTTTGTTTTTATTTTTTTATTTTTTTTTATTTCTTCTTTTGTTTCAGATTATTTTTGAGTGTTTTTAATGATCTTGTTTAGCCACAATATAAATCCATTAAATATCTCTTTGGTGATATTTAAAATATTTATTTAGAAATTTTTGCTATTCATTTTCTTCTAAATAATGTCAGATGATTCTAGAGTATTCTATCTTTTCTCCATCTGATATTGTCCTTTTTAGTGGATTATCAGTTTTCTAAAAATGATACCTTTAAATTGGCGGTATTGTGCCCTTTCTTTTTGTAAATGCTGTTCTGCTAAACTACTGTTATACTGATTGTAGATCTCTTAAGCTGCTCTCACGTTTCTCCTGAATATTGGTGCTTTTTCTAACCAAGCATAATGTTTAGAGGAGATGTAGGATACCACTGCTCTGTCTGTGTAAATGAGTACCCACCTTTTCTCTATCACGTGTTAGAAGTGAAGGTCTCCGAATACTGTGATATACTCTAATACTTTTGAGGGGATACTTTTCTTCCCTTTATTATAATCTTTATGCTAGGATCTTCCCTAGGTATGCACTATATTCTTCTTTGCCTACACCTGTCATCCTTTGGATCCATTGTCCATCGTATTAAAAATTTAAATAAATAATTTTTGGAGGGGGGCAGGTGCAATGACGTGAGGATGCTACGTGCATCGCTATCAAGAGGTGTGCCTAAACTACATGCCATGAGAAAGCAGAGTATGCGGCTGAAATAAAACTAAGCTGCTAGATTCGGAGTCTTTCAACATTGGATATTCTACTACTACTCAGAGTTTAACTTCTAGAGCTTGTGCCACATTTCCATAGAGGGGAGAAATGATATACAAGAAGGGGAGCCGGGAAATCTGTTTATCATACTCGGGCGGTGTACTTTATAACGGACATGCTAGAAAAGGGTGGAGAAACTGCGTGGCGAGGTTTACCGAAGGCGAAATGCCACTGAAGAGAAACTGTGAAAACCTCATAAGCCAAAGACTAGCTGGAATATACAAAAATCGGAGCTGTTCTTCAGAAGCAAGCAGGCTTGCATAACAACTAAACAATAGCTATATATAGCTGATAATAGTATTTCATATTGTACAATTGCTCTAAATACCAGATTTGTATTATAACTCCTTAATTAAAAATAAGAGGTCATATACCCTGTGTTTCCCTTTGTAAATAGTTTAATTACCCAAGAAATAAAACTCTGGCTAAAACTGGAAGAAAAATATTTAATATACTATAAAGCACTAAACAACTAAAAAGAAAGCGATGAACATTGCTTAAAACTAGAACAATTGTGAAGTAATTTGCAGATGAAATTTCTTTTTAGAGATTATGGACCTTTGATTCAAAAAAGTTCAGATACCCCGTGACTCCTCTTGTACGTACCTCTATTATCTAAGTAACAAAAGCGTGTGGCTGAATATTGGAAGCAGATTACATCATAACTGCAAAATAAAAGGGAAAGCTTTGCTTAAAATTATAGCATCTATTCATTATAATCCCAGATAGCCAACAATTGGGAAACAGACAAATTGACAAATCTAACCTTGACAATTAGTTAAAGGTAAGGAAAGAGAGAAAAAAAACAACCTGTTGGCTACTAATTGAACAAGAAGACAGCAAACAGGACAATGTGCCTACTAACAGACTGCTAATAAATAAGATGGAAAACCTATGCAAAAGAAAAGCAAAAAAAAAATTGCAGAAGCGGAAAAAGAATCAAGATTATCTGGTTTCTTTACACCGGTATCACAAAACTAAGGAAGGGACATTAAAGACCACAGATAATAGAACTAGAAAAGTCAGCTGCATCTGGATACAATGAAAAAGATCAAGCTCCGCAAGATGGATCATTTGATTTAGATACATCAAGAATATCTGATATCTTAAGATTATGCCTAAAGCAATAGTGAGAACAAATCAAGGAAGAACTACAAACGAATACCCGAAACTTAAGAGAAGAGCTCAGCAAACCAAGAGATGGAAGAAAAAGTGGACAAAATGTGAACCCAGAAAATTATCAAAAATGTATTGTATTTCAAGATCTATCTATATAAGAAGGGCAAGACCGAAATATAGAAATGGTGCAATCAAACTAAGAGAAAAATGGATAAGATACAAATGGGGTTTCCCAACAAGTGTGCTATTGATAAATGATGGACAGAGATTAGTCTTTTTAAGAATCCAGTTAAGCTAGATGAATGATTTAATAAAAATTAATTATAAATTATATATATTTGCGTCCGTATATATTATGGTTTAGATATAGTCTAATATATATATATATATATATATATATATATATTTTTCTTGGCCTCCTATTTAAGACTAAATATTAAGTAAAAGCATCAATTGTAGTAAGAAAAGGGTCGGGGGAGAAGAAACAATTTACCCAAATTAAGATACTAATTTTACATTAAAAAGTATACATAAAATACATGGGGAAAATAATTATTTACTTTATTTCCTCTAATATACTGTAATCTTTAGATGTATAAATAAGGTTATGGTAAGATTAAACATATTTCAAACTTAAATGAGGTTCAGATTGTAAATGGAGGAAATTTATACTAAAGTTATTCACAAATTATAAAAGATAAGGTGATAAAATATTAAAATGATTCACATAATCACAATATTAGGGTCACGATGAGTACTATTTCACTTAAGTTATTTAAATAAGAAAAAAGGGAAGGACAAGAACTTGAAAGGGGAAGGAAAAAGGGAGGGGGGAAAAGCAAAATACTTTTGGAAATACAGACACAAAGGGAAAATAAGATATTAAATTAGGAGGAATAATATCAGATACATAAGGAAATGGGAATTAAATAATTAATGATGGTTATTTATGTTTTTTGGAAGTATTCGGAAATTAAAAAGAATACGCGCCAAAAGTTGAAGATAGAATCTGATTTATTACTCTGACACTAATTTTTCTCTAACATCTAGGGTTGTTATGGGAGAGGAAAACGGGCAACCAGAGGTGTTTGAAATGACAGAAGAATGAATTATTTTCTTCAAATGTGTTTTTATGTATGTTTTTTGTGAACTTCTTGCTCAGGGACCAATGCATGAGATATATTTTTCATGGTTCGGTTCATGTCAATTAACGCACAAGGTATAAATTCACCATATAAAAGATCCTCTCTGATAAAAATGTTTAAAAACGAAAAAGTAAATATATGTTTCTTGCAGGAGATCCATTGGTTAAAAAATAAAAAATAAAATAGGATGCCACTTCTATAGGGTTATAGTTGCCTTCTCTGATATGTAGGGTAGAGACGAAATTATATACTTTAAAAAATATATATGCACTAAAAAAAATACGGTCTGCTTTATTAAAAAAAAATTGAAATATGTAAAGGATGTGTTATTATAGCCAGAGATTTTAATTCTATTATGGATAACGAGTTTAACGAGTTTAAAATTATATCTCGAGATAAAACAAAGCTTAAGTCGTCACATGCCTTAGAACTGATTGCAAAAAAATAATAATTCTATGATATATGGAGGATTAAAAATCCATAGGCAAGAGACTATAAACATTTCTCTTCTGTACATTGTTCTTACGTCAGGATAGATATTGTGTGGACTGACCACATGCTGAGAAGTAGAATAAATAAAAGTTTTATTTATTAAAATCTTTATGTGGTCAGACCATGATGCACTATTTTGGGTGACTAAAGATGATAGTATATATAATGCACAAAGTCAATGGAGGTTAAACGAGAAACTTCTAACCAAAGAAGATACTTTAATGTATATTAGAAAAAAAAATACTGACTTATATTTTATTGAAAATGCAAATTTCGTTAAATCTAAAGCCGCTCTATGGTGTGCCTACAAGAGTGTCTGTAGAGACTATCTGATAAAAATGCAGGCTTATGTTAGAGGCCTCCTTCAGGCACGTGCCCCTGAAATACCAACGGATATGCTCTTCATCAATCGGGTGCACCGGCTGAATTGTTGACTTGCATAAAGCTGGAAAGGGTTATAAAAGTATCTCCAAAAGCCTTGCTGTTCATCAGTCCACGGTAAGACAAATTGTCTATAAATGGAGAAAGTTCAGCATTGCTGCTACTCTCTCTAGGAGTGGCTGTCCTGTAAAGATGACTGCAAGAGCACAGCGCAGACTGCTTAATGAGGTGAAGAAGAATCCTAGAGTGTCAGCCAAAGACTTACAAAAGTCACTGGCAAATGCTAACATCCCTGTTAGCGAATCTACAATACGTAAAACACTAAACAAGAATGGATTTCATGGGAGGATACCACAGAGGAAGCCACTGCTCTCCAAACAAAACATTGCTGCAAGAGCACCTGGATATTCCACAGCAGTACTGGCAAAATATTCTGTGGACAGATGAAACCAAAGTTGAGTTGTTTGGAAGAAACACACAACACTGTGTGGCGAAAAAAAGGCACAGCACACCAACATCAAAACCTCATCCAAACTGTGAAGTATGGTGGTGGGGGCATCATGGTTTGGGGCTGCTTTGCTGCGTCAGGGCCTCGACGGATTGCTATCATCGAAGGAAAAATGAATTCCCAAGTTTATCAAGACATTTTGCAGGAGAACTTAAGGCCATCTGTCTACCTGCTGAAGCTCAACAGAAGATGGGTGTTGCAACAGGACAATGACCCAAAGCATAGAAGTAAATCAACAACAGAATGGCTTAAACAGAAGAAAATACGCCTTCTGAAGTGGCCCAGTCAGAGTCCTGACCTCAACCCAATTGAGATGCTGTGGCATGACCTCAAGAAAGCGATTCACACCAGACATCCCAAGAATATTGCTGAACTGAAACAGTTCTATAAAGAGGAATGGTCAAGAATTACTCCTGACCGTTGTGCACATCTGATCTGCAACTACAGGAAACGTTTGGTTGAAGTTATTGCTGCCAAAGGAGGTTCAACCAGTTATTAAATCCAAGGGTTCACATACTTTTCCACCTGCACTGTGAATGTTTACATG